AATCACTTATACAACATATCAAAACAATTTGTTTTCTCCGGAGTCATCAAAACATCAAAAATTCGCTCCACTATCAGATGAGTTCAAGTTGCGCAATGATATAGAATGGCGACGAGATGATTTCAGCTTATTTTTTTGCAATACAATTCTATGAAGATAAAATAATATAGAATACTTTATTAACAGTAATTAAACACTTTATTAAGTTTTAAAAAAAAGTTTTATCATGGAATAGTACTTCCTCCTAATTTGATTGTTAGAAAAAATTATTCAATCAGAAGAAAGCAGGATGTGCATTTAGATTTTTATCAGTGTGTGCTTTATCGAAAAAACGCAACCAATCAGACCTCATGAAGTGAACCAACGCTTTTGATTGGCGCGTATAAATTTGCAATAGTATAATTATTATACTTTCCTTTTGGATGAATATCATAAGGGTTTGAGCAAGGAGGTATTAAGAAAATGATCAAGATCTTAAACGCTTAATAAAATTTGCATACTGTCATTACCGATTGTATTAAACTACAGCCAATGGCTATACAGCAACAAAACATAATTACCTTGGGATACATCCTCCTCATTTTGTCGTACAAAGCCTGAAACTTAAATATTTTTAATATTTGGTTTCCTTTGTAGATTTCAAAAGCCTACAGAAAAGAGTAAAAAAAAATACGTGTGAAAGGTTAAAATTGTTTTGACAGAAAATGTGTGAAAACAATTGTTAACATTTTAATCTTATAGTTGTTTTATTATTTTATTTATTCATTATTTTTAAACACTCCGGCATGTTAAAAATACAACAATTTTTTATTTCGTCAAAAATTCAGATTCAGATAGAAAAGATTAACAGACAAGAATAAATGCTAGACGAGGCGTTTATTTAATTTACTTTTATTTATTTATTTTTTAAATTTATTTATTTACTTATTTTTTTAATTTATTTATTTATTTTTTTTTTTGGTGTAAAATGGATATGTAATATACGCCTTCTTAATTTCACAGTAAATATGGAACTACAACATATTTTTACCGCCAAATGTGGTTCCGGTAATATGTGATCATATAGACTTATTGAACCCACAGCTTAGAATATATGTAAATCTACTTCAGTAGAATTTGTCGAGAATGATGTTGTTTTCATTAGTTTGCGCGCCCACTGTGTTTATTCGAGCAAGGCGCTTATTCTAAATGAGGGTAAGAAGGAGAGGTTTATTGTGGGGTGGTGGGAGGGGGTGGTAGTAAATAAATACTTATATGTGCTTACATCTTTTTTATTCACGTAATTGTTGGCAATGTTTCTGCCAAACAACCTTTGTACTTCCGCCATTACAATGGGTTCCTTGTCAAATTTTGACTTCGGTCCAAATCGGCTTGGTTCTGGAAACTGCAAAAGAAAAACAAATTAGAAATCATTAATTATTTTGAATAAAATTCCAAATGTGCTGATTAGCTTCTGTCCCTATGGAGCTGAGTTTGTGTATTTAATCCAGTGACCGGGGTAATTATAATGTGAAGCGCATACAGGTCTTTCAATGTGCCACTGTCCGAGTGTTCAGCCTTTTTATTTTAAGCTGGTGGCCAGTTTCAGTCTGTAGAGACCAGCTGCGGGCTGAATTCATATACTTCCAATTTTGTTCAATGTCAACCCCATCCTTTTCTCTTTTACAGGCCTACAAGTCTTCCTATGAATATTACCGTATTTTTTCAGTATCAACTATAATAGCCCTTGTTTTTTTAAAAATGAGGGACTGTAGCAGCATGAGGAATGGGGAGCGATGAAAAAAAAAAAAACAAGTGCACCTGAGTTCCCAAAAGTATCTAAAAAAATGACAGAAAAAATTACATATATTATAATAGGCCTATTATTTTTATTGTTATTATATATTATTATTATTATTATTTAATATTATTATTATTATTATTATTATTATTATTATTATTATTATTATTATTATTATGATTATTATTATTATTATTATTATTATTATTATTATTATTATTATGTATTTTTTCTTCTCATATATACTATAGCTCTTAAACCGTTTTCAGACAGAAGTTCTTGCAATATTGCGGTAATAATGCCGTTCTTACCGACATAAACCATTCATACCAACCAAATATTGCGGTAATATTGCCGTAGTAATAAAGGCCTTTCTGTATGAACTGAATAAGCAATTGGTTCCTTTTAAGTCATCACAGAATGAGGGTATCCTATAGTATTGTTGTTTTGATAAAATTGTGCTAAATGTATGTTAAGGCTAGACTTCATAGTAATTTGCTTGACGTTAATTGGCTTTATTGAATGCATTAATATTACTACTGAATATTACAGTAACATAGCTCTGTATGAAAGTGTCTTAAGATGTAGGAAAGCAATTATTACCACCGTTTCTGGTACTTCAGGTCTGGTAATCTGAAAATCATGAAAAAGGGAAGAAGGAAGTAAAAATAAAAATTAAAGTAGGCCACTTTTTTTATATATGCCTATTTAGGAATAGAAATACCATAATACAAACTGAACTAAATGTTTCCAAGGCCTTACTGCAGCATAAACATTGCTAAAGCATAATATGCATTATTATGGTTGCAGATTACAGTCTGAATGAAAAAAAATAGCATGATTGTTGTTACCAGCTAAAAGGGAAAGCTACCGGGATACTCGCATATAAGACTAGACTTAAGATAGCAAATTACGATTGAAAAACAGGGGGTCATCTTATACTTGCGACATACAGAATTTTCTTCTTTTAAAAAAAAAAACCATATTTGTCTTATTACCGGATCGTACGTAACACGTTGCAAATTTATTACTGTAATGATGAACGCGGGCGTGTAACCCCAATATTGCGGCTGCAGTTAGCCCTTACCTATTCATAAGGAAATAATTGTAACATAGCTCTGTATGAAACTGTCTTAAGATATATAGGAAAGCAATTCTTACCACCGTTTCTGGTACCGGTCTACTGGTAGTCTGAATATCATGAAAAAGGGAAGAAGAAATGAAAAATATAAACTAAAGTAGGCCATTATTTATATATTTACGAATAGAAAAAACCATAATACAAGCTGAACTAAATGTTTCCAATATGTTGAAGCATATTATGGTTACAGATTAAGGTCTGAATGAAAAAATAATAATAGCATGATTGTTACCAGCTAAAAGGGACAGCAATAAGTATACTCTCATACAAGACCAGACTTAGGGTAGCAAATTGCGATTGAAAAAAGGGCGTAATATTATACTTGCGACATACAATTTAAAATTTTTTTTTTTTTAAATCATATTTGTCTTATGTCCTGATCGGGCGTAACACGTTGCGAATGTATTACTGTAATTAATCTACAGAATGTTAGTATTAATGAAAGTACTTTTAACTTCAGAGAAATAAGATTTTGTATAGTGTGCTTTCGTTGATTACTGTATTTCAAATTAGGAATAGTGACGCATTATACCTGTTCTGCTTGGTTCGCCTTGTTGCATGTATCCTATTAGGACGAGAAATGGGTATATTTGAAATAAGAATGATTATTTACATATAGTAGTAGCTTTAATTAGGCTCTGTTTAAAACTTAAACTGTCCTAGAGGATTGACAAAGCACAACAAATTTAGTAGAACATGTATCAGATATATTAAATTATTAATGCAATTATTCTTAATGAATTAAATTATATATAATGTTACACATTGATTGATTTAATTAAAAACATGATTTGAACATCTTAAAATGTAGGTAAAATCGAATTATAGAGAGTTTAACATAACATTTTAGTCGTGAAATTTAAGAAAATAAAATGTTTAAACATCCCATTTTCAAATCTGTTAAAGATTTATAATTGAAATAAAAACTTGGTCCTTGTAAATGTTAGAATAATTATAAAATACAAAGTTAATTACATTGACATGCACATTTTACAAAAATTTGTTTCAAAATTCTTACCAACAACTCCTGAATAACAGGATCAATTGAATCGGACTCAACGACCTAAGAGGTAAAAGCATGAAATGAAGTTTTCAATAATTCATGTTTATTGCTTTTTTTAAAAATACATTTTTGTCTAAAAAAAAACAAAACCAATAAATAATATTACTGTTTTCTTTCACATTAATTATTGATGGGCCTGGATCAAAGCAAAACCCCACCACGCCCTCTCCAGACTCTGTCTCTTATACACATCTTTTTCATTAGTGGGCGCGCAAACTAATGAAA